TAGTAAAGTAAAAAATTGCATGAATTGCAATTTTTTACTTTCCTTATTGCAGATATATAGCTTTTAGTCTTTCAATGGTTGTTTCTATATCAAAAGAATATAAAAAATATAAATTGCCTTTGGAATACATTATTATCATATTTTTCAATTTTGCTGTATTTAGAATAGATTTAAAATAACCCACAACAATATATTTCAGGCATGGTATTCAAGAGAGGAATGTTTCACACCAAATTTCAATATTACTTCCATAGCAGGATAACAGAAATGCATATTTTATTTTCTTTTTTTTTTTAATATTAATCAATATTTCAATATTTGGTTCAGCACTTTGCATTTCTGTGTAGATTTCCGAATCCAAGGATTTTTGTATATATATGGCTTATTTTTTTACAAGAACAGTCTTCGATTTTATAAAAAAAAAATAATTTAATATTTGTTCTTTGTCATTTGAATATACTTATATTTCTTTTGATTTTACGAATATCTATAAAATATCAATGAAAATCATAAAAAAAAATAACTGCAAAACTAATTTATATAATTTTTTAACTCATGTGCAGATTTTCTTCTTTATATTAATCTATTAATTTTTTTTATTTTTCAGGTGAGTTTTTAACATTAACGTAAAAGTAAGTAAAATTAGAGAAGGGGCAGAATCATGGCATATTTTTCTTGAAGGCCAAACATATACGAGAACATAGTCACAACTTCACCCCAAAAATTAGGAGTTCACCTCAAGTGGTGCATCCGAACAAAAATTATTTTTTCTTTATTAACCTACCTTTTTTTAGACCAGAAAGAGTAAATATTCCGAATTTGTTGTTGGAAAATATTCCATAGTTTTGTGAAAAATGTCAGGCGGCGAAATCCTTTATAAAAAGCTTTTGTTTTTCCTACTGTAGCTCGAAAACGTTTAAAAGGGTCATAATTTTTTTGTGGGCTTAGTAAGAAGGATCGACAAAAAAAAATTAACGTTCTAATCAAAATTTCAAATCATTCAAGTTTTATCAAAAACTAAATGGCCAAACATTGTTTTTTTTTAACATATATGGGTATCGAAAATGCTGCTTCGAAATTAAACCAATAAACTATGCCACTACGAGCAAAGTTTAACTGGGACTTCCCTTTGAAATTTTTGGCACATATTATCTGGTACTTACACATCTGGTACATATCTGGTAAGCCACATTCAAAAATCGGCACTTTAAAGCTCTTTGTATTCTTCAAAAAAGTATTCATAGAAAAAGCTTCACTAAAAGCTCTTTGGATTCTTCGATATATATATAAAGAAAGAAAGCCTTAAACATTTTCTAAAAATCTCTGCTAAAAGCACTTTGGATTCTTCAATAAATTATGCCTTAAAATCCACGTTAAAAGTTCTTCGAATTCTTCAAAAAAAAAAAAAAAAAAAAAAAAAATCATAAAAAGTCAAGCTTATAGCTCTCCGAATGCACGATTGAACCGTTCATGAAAATTTTTTAAATAAGACATTTAATAATGTTTTCTTTGATCCCGAATAGACCTTTTAATGGTCTTTGTATTCTTCAAAACAGTACTCTAAAAAACGCGTGACTGAAAGCTCTTTGGATCCTTTTTAATATATGTTTCTAAAATGCCACGTAGAAAGCTTTAAACTTTTTCCTAAAAATCCACGCTGAAAGCACTTTGTATCGTTCAAAAAATTATGCTTAAAAAATCCAAGTTAAGGGGACCCCCCATTCTTAGTTTCAAAAAATTAAATTTTGTATTTTGATTACATTCGAATCTACACTAATTCAAGAATGTCCCTATAAATTTTAAAGTGAAAATCCCTTAAATGTTTTTGAAATATTAAAAAAAAAAAATCTATAATGTCAAGCTTATAGCTCTCAGAATAATTACAAAAGTATTATTAAAACCCCAAGCTTAAAGCTCTATGCGTTCTAAACAATCCAGTAGGACCTTCCTTCAGAAAAAAAAAACTAAAAAAACACACTAAAGCTCTCTGTGCACTTCTAAAACATATTCTTCTAAAAATAAAGCGCTTAAAAATATACCTTAAACAATCCATGTTCAATGCCCAGAAACTTTTCAAAAAAAATAATATTAAGAAAAATCCCCACTGAAAACTCACTGGACCTTCCACATATACTATTTCACAACAGAATAATTAAAGTGCTTCTCATGAATATTATTAAAAAATATATTAAAGCTATCTGGACTCGTCAAAAAAATATTTTTTAATCAATCCAATAGAATCTTCCTTCAGAAAAAATATTAAAAACTCACTAAAGTTCTCTTTGCACTTCCATAACATATTCTTCAAAAATACAACGCTTATAGTTAAAATATAAAAAAAGGTATTTGGGCCTCCTGAAATAATAATCTATAAGCTGGTTTATGTGTAAAGCTTAAAGACCCTGGTCCGTCAAAAATATTCTTAAAATCCAGCTAAAGCTCTCTCTTCAAATCAAGCATAAAGCATTCTAAAGTTTTCCAAAACCTATTCTTCAAAAATACAACGCTTAAAGTTTTCTGGGCTTAATCCATGCTTAATGTCCTAAACTTTTGAAAAAATAATATTAAAAAAAAACACCGAAACCTCACTGGGCTTTGCAAAGATGCTATTTCTAAAATTAGCAATTAAAGTCCTCTGGCCACTTCAAAAAAAAAAAAAAAAAAAAAAAATAATAAATAAATAAAAATAAAAAATAATAATATTGAATTATTTTTTAAATGATTCATCAAAAGCTTTTTTACTTTTCCACTGTTTCGAAATCCACTACTAAATCCAAAACCTATTTTTCTAATACAACGCTTAAAGTTCTCTGGGGCTTTTCCAAAAAAATAAATAAATAAATAAATAAAAAACATGTTTTAAAAAATATATGATTAATTCATATATGAATTATTCATTAATTAATATATGATTAATTCATTCGAAAGCTCACTGGATCTTCCAAAAATACTATTTCACAAATCAATAATTAACGTTCTCTGGGCCTTCAAAAAAAAAAAAAAAAAAAAACTTTATGCGCCCGTCAAAAAATATTTTTAAAATTAACTTACAGCTCTCTGGACACGTCAAAAAAAATATAGTAATAATAATTTAAAAAAATCCTCTGAAGCTAACTGGGCCATCAAGTAATATTTTGTAAAAAAACCAACGCTTAATGCTCTGCATCCTTAAAAAATGTTTTCTTTGAAAAGTTTAAAGCTTTCTTGGTCCCTCCAAAGATATTCTTAAAAATCTAAGCTTGAAGTTATCTGGGCACATTCAAAAAGGATGATTATTGCCCTGGGACTTTTCGAAAATAATATTTTAAAAAGGTTCATTCGAAAGCTCATTGGATCTTCAAAAATTACTATTTCACAAATAAATAATTAAAGTTCACTGGGCCTTCAAAAAAAAAAAAATGTATGCAATATTATGTTTAAAGCATAAAGACCATAAACTAACTTAAAGCTTTCTGGACACGTCAAAAAAAAAAAAAAAAAAAATAGTTATAATAATAAAAAAAAACCATTGAAGCTAATTGGGCCATCAAGTAATATTTTGTAAAAAAATCCATGCTAACTGCTCTGCACCCTTACAAAAATTATTCTTTGAACAGTTTAGAGCCTTCTTGGTCCTTCCAAAAATATTCTTAGAAATCTAAGCTTGAAGTTCTCGGGACACTTTAAAAAAGGAATATTGGAGTAAAATGCTTATAAATGATTCTTCAAAAGCTTTCTGGCTCTTCCAAAAATTATCTTAAACAATTCAAGCTTAAAGCTCAATGTTCCCCCTAAAATGTCTTTAAAAATGCAGACCTAAAGTCCGGGCTATTCCAATACATATATAATCTTCAAAAAAACCCCTCTCTTGGGTTTTTCCCAAATATTATTATTATCTTTTAAAAAATATTATTAAAACACTGTTTTAACATCCTCCGCTAATTTTTATAAGTCCACTGCTAATATTCTTTAATATGTCCATACAAATAATTCTGCAAAAGCTTTCCGACCCCTACAAAAATTATTTCCAAAAAAAAATCAAGCTTCAAGATCTCTGTTTCCCTAAAATGTCTTTAAAAATTGAAGCTTAAAGTCTGAGCTATACAAAAAAAATATATATAGTCTTAAAAAAAATCTTATAAAAAACCCTGAAAAATCTGTTGAGCTCTTTCCCAATACTCTATAAAAAAAGTTCAAGGGTTACGGCACTCTTGGTGCTTTTGAAGAAGTATTAGTTAAAAATTCACTGCACATTTTCTGCAAATATGTTATTAGCTATTATAGAACCTGGTATGCCAAATTACAGCCACTTCAGTTATTAAGTAACGATAAATCCTTCGAAATACCAGAGCGGTATTAGTTTGTTTGCCTTGAAAAATATTCTTCAAAAAATCCACACCTTGGGTTGAAGTCAATGAAAAATTGTCTTTATAAACCCCTTGTATTGGTAATTGAAAAAAAAAAAAAATTCTTTAACATATCCACGCCTAGGATCTGGATTTATTAGGTCCTTCAAAAAATATTCTTGAAAATTGTTTTCTTAAAAAATTTGTTTTTATTTTTTTTATTATTTTTTTACTTAGTTAAAAAAATATATATGTAACAAAATAAATGATATATAAGTGTATGTGTAGGTATGTATAAAAAAATAACTCATAGCTAATAAAGCACCATTTACAATTAATAATTATCTTATCACTAGTTGGGCAACAAAAAAATATTGTGTCGTTTATTTTATTTTGCAATAATCACTGTGCAAAAAGAAAATTCTCCGCTTCTCTCTCTCTCTCTCTCTCTCTCTTTTCTGTCCGTTTCTCTAATGGGAAATAATTTCTATTATTTGCTTACAACATTGTTTAGGCGCAGAATTTTAAATGAATTTTTACACGCAATGTTCTGCTGGCTTCCTCCTCCGCCTTCATTGGAAAAGGGGTGGGTTGGATGTAGCGGACGAATATCTTCCTCATTGTTCATTTTTTATTCACTGTGAAAAATAAATTCCATTTAAATATGACATCTTTTTATTCTGCTGCTGCTGCCGTCGTTGGAACATTGGGAACCATGGTCTTAATTAGGCCTGGGAAAATTTCTGCTTGCAGTGTACCATAGGGTACCCTTTCCCCATCGACTGTAAGTATTCCTGGCTCACTTAAATCAGGTTCTATGCGAAATGCCGTCACAGGTATGACTTGCATATGAGATGTAGGAGCCTCTGCCAAATGGGTACCGGAACTAAGATTTAACAGAAATTGTACCATTTGAGATTTGCTCACTCCAGCTCTGATGATAACCAAATAAATGATACCATCATTTAGCTTAGAGGCAGGAACAAAATAACAATCTGATGCCAAGTGTGTGGTATATGCCGCATGGACCATAACATATTCACCCTCTTCAGAAATCCATTCCCCAGCCAGGGGTTCAGTGATGGCAGGTATTTTTGATTTTGGTCTTTGGGTATTGAATTCTGCATTGGCTGCCTCAATTCGACTTTGTATTGTGGCCACGCTACGATTAGATCTTAGCGAGTGGCCGGGTATCGAGTAGTAGGCAGTGGCATTGGATTTGGCAGAGGCCCAACTGTCCACACGATATGTGGATTGGGATATAATGTCAGCAAATTCGGAGTTATCCTCACCATCACAGGCATCGGAAAAACCATGGTTACGATTTCCCGCCATAGCATCATCCTCCTCCTCATCCAAGGCATCTTGAAAACGTCGCAAAATTGAGGTGGACCCTGATTTGCGTACCTTGTGCCTTAGGGATTCTGCGTTTATTGTTTCAGCATTCGTCCTCTTCCAGGGTAGATATGACAGTTTTCCCTTATATGTCCTTAGATGTAATATACGATGTATGGACCACAGGGTAAACCGTTGGGAGCCAATCGATCTCAGCTTTTCACTTTCAATATCGACATCAGCTATTATACCCCAACCCACCGCTAAAAAGGAAAACAATTCCTGCTGCTGTTTTTCCTTGGACAGCAATTCAATGCGTACCACATCGAGTGGGGCCCACTTGCCTGAGACACATGTCAGGGTGGCATTGACAATGGGTTTCGGTTCGTAAGGTTCATTGTAGCAATGGGCAATACTTTTGGCCAAACCATTACCCGAACCACAGGGTATAATACCCAAGGGCAAGTCACGTGTCAGCACTCTCCAGTCGGGTCGCTCCATAATGCCATTAAGGACCTCGAAGTATAAACCATCCCCTGAGGCCACCACAATGCCGCTGTATTTTTGTGTCAAATCTTGACGTTTCCGCACCATTTCCCGAGCAAAATTGGCATGTGTTGTAACAATCAGTTCATAAGGTATATCCGCTTCCTTGAGCACTGGGATCACTTGTTTCTGGAACATTACCCTACCCTTGCCCGAACCGGATTTGGGATTTAAGAAAATCAATAAAGGTTTCCGGGCATAGGTATGCATATCGGGGCCCTTGTTGATCCTGATGGCTCTTTGCCATCTCTCTGCGGATTTTAAATTCTCTTCATACGTTAAAAATGAGCGGAATCGCAATATTCTCACAGTACGCATCCGCCTAAGGGGTTTTTCTTTTCTAACATAGGCATAGATATATAAATAGGCGGAAATATCCTTATTATCCGGTTGACTAGCCGAGGAGTCCTCACTGTGATGTTGTTCCTCATCCACTTCGGGTTTCCGCTTGCAGGATTGTAGCACACCGCGTGTCTTTTTCTTTATCTTACCACCACAATAGCTACCAATAATATCCTCCATGCGGATCAGCTGTTCCGTGATTTGATCATGATCGGGTGTCTCGCGACGTAGATAAATTCCCGTGGCATTTATTTGGACTTGGATCTTGAGATTATGTTTTCGTTTATTGCGATTGTTGATATAGAAGTTCTCTGTTAGCTCTACACCATTTGCAGGTGTCTGGTGGGAGTGGCTGTGTTCGTGGTCCGACATATTGTAGCCATTGGCTATGGCACTCGATGAGGGGTTATTATTCTGGATATTAGTACCATATGTTCCGCCGTTAGCTGTCATGGATATGCCAAATCGTTTTTCTTCCGTTTTTTGCTGCCCCCTGTGTGAATTTCCTTATCAAATGGCTGTTTTTTCGATGGAATTGATAAAGCAGAACGGCGTCGGCCACACTTCACTGGATTTTTGGAAATAAACAGAAAAAAATGGAAAAACATTTGGTGATAAGAAAAAAAGTATTAATTGTAAATTTTCAATAGTTTACAGCAATTTTTCTTATCCACGATATTTTATCTTCGAATTACAAAAAAAAAAAAAAAAAATAAATAAATAAATAAAAAAAATAAAATTATTTTTTTCTTCTTCTTCTTGTAAAACCCCACCTTATTTTATGTGTGACTCTTCTTCACCTAATTTCTATTTTTTTTTTTCAAAATGATCCCTCCGTTTAACTGCCTTGCTCTGACTGCCTGCCTAGTGGTTCTACCTTTGAATGTCTGTTGCTTACTAAAAACCAAAATCGCTCTCACCACACTTCATTCAATCATGGCCATCGAATCGAATTTGTTTATCAGTAGTGTGCAGTTGTTGTTTTTATTGTTATTGTTATTATTTTCTATTTTATATCGGGATTTCTTGTGTTGTTGTGTTTTATTTTTTGTATTTGTTTTACCCCGATCCGATAGTATTTGGTCATATCAGTTACCAAGTTTTTTGTTTCGTCTTCATGTTTTTTTTTTGCGATAGTAGCATTTTGTTTTGGTATCAATAACCAATACCCTATATACCGGCAACTGGATCTGGTAAATGGTATTGTATATTGTAATAATGTTAAGGGTCTGTAGTATTCAAATTATGTTATTTTGTCAAGATACACCAAATATTGCCAAAGTTATGGACTTCGTAAGGTGATTGAATTAAAATAACAAAAACAGATGCAATTTGGTTAATTTTTTGTATTATTGGTTATAACTCCAAAATTTGCTTAGATAGAGTGAACTTGAATTTATGGAAACATGCTTATTAGAATGTCTTCTTTCATAATCTGTTTGTTTCATTTTGATTCCGGTATTTTTTCCGATGTTATAGCCTCCAGAAGATAATAGCAAAAAAATTATCAAAAATGTGTTCATTTTGGGTAATTTGATCATTTTGGTTATAACTCAGATATTTGTTTAAGTAGATCCAATTTTATTCATGAAAATGTACTCTATAAACTGTCTTCTTTCATAATCAGTTTATTTCATCCAGATACTGCTAATATTTCCGAAGTTATGGCTTCAGGATGGCAATTGCAAAAAATTAACCAAAATAGGAGCAATTTTTGTAATTTGATACTTTTGGTTATAATTTCGATTTTTTGTAAGCTGAAGTATTTTTATTTGGTAATAATGTAATATTTAGAATATCCTCTTTCATAATCGGTTCATTTTATCCAGATACTGCTATTATTTCCGATGTTATGGCCTCCGGAAACTGATTGCAAAAAATGAACCAAAATAGGAACATTTTTTGTAATTTGATATTTTCGTTTATAATTTCGATTTTTTGTAAGCTGGATTATTTTTATTTGCTAGTAATGTAATATTTAGAAGATCCTCTTTCATAATCAGTTTATTTCATCCGGATACTGCTATTATTTCCGAAGATATGGCCTCCAGAATATGGTTACCGAAAACTAACAAAATATTCAAATTTCTAAGTAATTGCATAATTTTCTGCATATCTCTTTTATGTGGTCATTTATGTATTAATAATTGATATTATTGTAAATTATACAAGATCTTATATCAGAAGAGGATATTTTCGTTGCAATTGACCGATTATTTCCAAAGTTATGACATCTGAAAAGTGATTGAACACAAAATACTTAAAATAGGTCAATTTGAGGTAATTTGCTACATTCGGTTATAATATATATATTTGTAAGGCAGGATCAGATTTCTTTGGTAGTAATGTAATACTCAGAGTCTGTTTTTTTTAATTCAGTTCATATCATCTTGATACTGCTATTATTTTCGATGTTATAGCCTCCAGAAGAAGATGATTGTAAAAAATGAACAAAAAATAGATGCAATTTGGGTAATTTGATACTTTTGGTTATAACTCAGTTATTTGGTAAGCTAGAATCAATTTTATTACTGGCAATTTAATTTTTAGAATGTGTTCTTGCATAATCATATTAAATTATCCTGATACTGTTATTATTGTCGAAGTTATGGCCTCCGTAAGGTTGATTGCACAAAATGACAAATATAGATGCAATTTGGGTAATTTGATACTTTTGGTTATAACTCAGGTATTTTGTAAGCTAGAATTAATTTTATTGGAGGTAATTACATTTGTAGAATGTGTCATTGCATAATCATTTTATTTTATCCTGATTCTGCCATAATTTTCGAAGTTATGGCTTCCATAAGCTTGATTGCACAAAATGACAAATATAGATGCAATTTGGGTAATTTCATATTTTTTGTTATAACTCAGGTATTTGGTAAACTAGAATCAATTTTATTGCTGGCAATTGAATTTTCAGAATGTGTTCTTACACAATCATTTTATTTTATCCTGATTCTGCTATAATTTTCGATGTAATGGCCTCCAGACGGTGATTACACAAAATGAACAAAAATAGATGCAATTTGGTTATAACTCAGGTATTTGGCAAGCTAGAATAAATTTTACTTCTGGCCATTTAATTTCTAGAATCTGTTCTTGCATAATCATTTCATATTATCCTGATTCTGTTATTTTCTAAATAATGACCTCCAGAAAATGATTAACAAAAAACGAACAAAAAATTCAAAGTTTTTGGTAATTGATTATTTCGGGTCATAACTAGTTATTTGATGGGATAGGTGAATGTAATCGATATTATAGTAAAGTTTACACATTTATCTGTCAGTATAGGGTGATTTTTTTATATATGTACCTATATTTTCAAAATGATGACCAATTGAAAGTGATTGCGGAAATTGAACAAGAATTTGAGATGTTTGGGTAATTTGATATTTTTGCCTATAACTGTTTTTTGCCTATAACATGTTCGGTAAGCTATAACCAAACTTATTTTTAGAAATTTATAGCTCTTTATATTCCTCTATCGAATCGTGTAATATTTTTAAGATGTAACGAATTTTTTTCCGAAGTTATCCACACTGAAAAGTGATTGCGGAAAATTTTAAGGAATATGTCAAAGTGCATATATTTGGTTATAACTCTGACATTTTCAATGCTATAATCGAAGCTGTTTGTGGTTCTATAATATTTAGAGTATCTCCTTCCAAAATCAAGTCATTTTACTGTAATACTTTTATTGTTTCAGAAGTTATGGTTCCCAGAAAATTGTTAAGGAAAACGGACCGAAAAATTAAATACATTTGGTTTCCTTCTCTGATTCGACAATTAAATAATAATGATTCCAATATAAAGATGAGATTATTTTCTATCAGAATTAGTTCATATTGTTTAGATTCATCTACGGTTTTCGATGTTGTGACTTCCGGAATATGATTCCAAAAAATTATCAAAAATAATTTGGGTTATTTAGACTGCCCTATTATTTTCAAAGTTATGAACAAGGAAAATTTAAAGATTTTTTATAAAAAAATTTAAATATTTTTTTTTATAAAAAATTGAAATATTTTTTATAAAAAAATTTAAATATTTTTTATAAAAAAATTGAAATATTTTTTTATAAACAAATTGAAATATTTTTTATAAATAAATTGGAATATTTAAAAAAAATAATAAAAAATTTAAATATTTTATTTATAAAATAATTTAAATGTTTTATTTCATAAAATAATTGAAATATTTCTTTTATAAAAAATTAAATATTTAAATAGTTATTTAAAAAAAAATATTTTATTTTTTTAATTTACGTAGATACTGAAAAAATTGTTAGAGAAATTTTTGGTTTATTTTTTTCTGTATAGAAAAACATATTTATAAGGTTTTATTTTGGGTCTTCTAATTTCAATGAAATCGAAACAATTCGTTCATTGTTATTTTTTTATTTGTGCTTTTGTTTATCTAAATCTGGGTTATTTAAACAAATTAAAAATTATGTCGTCGGTTAACCTGTTGATCGAGTTTGATATTTTTTTTTTAATTTCCATATTCAAATTTCAAAACGAATCGCTTGTTGCACTGTGTCAAACGTGCAGTGAAAAAAAAAACAAGTTTCCCCAAACAACAAAACCTATCCGTAAACACAGTTTTTTTTTTTTTTTTGAATGATTTTTCATTTTTTATGTTTTTGTAAATTCACAATTTTTCCTTATGGTCATATTTTTTCCTTTTGTTTTTCTATATTTTATACAAATGATCCACCTGCCATGTCTCCAAAGAAATGTTTTTTTTATAATTTTTTTAATTTGTTTCCCTTTGGATTTTGCAGAAATAAAAAACAATTATTATTATTTTTTTTTTTGCTAATTCCGTAAAAACAAAGATACGATTTCACATAGATTTTTGTTGTTGCTTGTTTGTTTTTTTTTACACGAAACCATATGTACATCTGTTTTTTGAATGATTTACCACCACCCACACCCACTATAATTATCTTTCACTTTTGATATTTATATATCAGAATTGATATGCAGTCCATCAAGCGGGCTTTGTATTGCAAAACATCAATTGTGTTTGAAATTAGAAAGGTATCCATCCCTGCAGCGCCTACCACAGCAAGCCAACAATGGATGGATGGATGAATGAATGGCCTAATAACACACAATACCCGATTAAATCACACTTGATTCACACACTCGCCCATGTATTAGTTATGGGGTTAAGCAATCGCATCCAACAATGACAATAACAACAACACTACTACTATTGCTGCTGCTCTATTTTCAAAATGCATCAATCAGTCAAACACAGACTGACAATGCTCTATATATCACATTTATCAAGAGTTCACCCCATAATAATATCTTTGTTGTTGTTTTTTTATTGTATTATCACGTGCATATGTTGTTTTGCTTTTTTTGTCTCTCTGTATTTATTGTAAAGCGAGCACCATCGTTTCGTTTTTGATTACCTTTCGATTTGACGGTTAC